TGTGTTGGGTTTATGTATCACTGACTTCAACCTTTCCATTTTGGGGAGAGGGGGCTGATAAATAAAGCAATGCACAAAATACCATACAAGCAATACAGGTGAGATCCTCAAGCTTCACAAAGACTCTGGGGCAAAACTTTTAACAGTGAAAGCAAAAGATCTTCCAGCTCCTAAATGCTTCTATACTAGAATTGGGTGTTCAGGTCCATAAGAAAGGTAGAGAGCTCTCTGCTGATCTCTGCTGCCCACTGCTTGCATACCCACCCTTCTCTGTTCCCTGGGGATGTTAAAACAGCAGCTCCAGATGCAAACATAGGGCTCAGACAATGATCCAAATTTTCACCCATCACCCTGAAACAGAGAAGTCTACATGCCAGTATGACAGTAGCAGGGACAGACAGGAAGGGCTCACAGAATAATACACACAGAAAGAACACAAGAAAAAGAGAAAGAAGCACAGAAAACCCAAAACAGAGAGGGAGGAAGACTCATTCTGTGGGTGAGAGAGATATAGCCCCATACACAAATGCAGAGAGTGAAACTTGGTGTGTCCTAGCAAGAGACAGACAAAGAGGACTCAGTCCCAGGGTCTACTCGCTCTTGAACCTCACCAGCCCACAGAGACCCTTTCCGTACGATCAGCTGGGCCTTTCAGGCTCAGTTGCGTTACAAGCCAAACTGAACAACTCATATCATTTGTGCCTTACAATGAAGGAATTCCTGTGAGCTGCACTAGCCATGGCACCACTAGCCATTAATGCCTGAGTGAATGTTAATGAGCATGTGTGCACCTTCACGTGTGAGTAGTCCTGTGTGCTTTGGGAGTCAATCAAGATTAGTTAGTCTGATATCTCCCCCAGAATCCTTTGGCTTGTGCTTGTCTTTGCATCTTAGCATGTGTGTGAGACCAAAGTGCTGGGCAGCTGCTGAGCAGCTTTTCATTCTCCACAATCCAGACGATATCTTGACTTAATGCTGTCTCCCACTCTTGTTTCCATGATTTCATTCCCAAGTGCAGCTGCTGGTGTCTGGCCCCAGTACTGTGAAGGTCTCAGAGCCCCTCACTCTCACCTGTGCAGTCTCCGGGAAACTCATCACAACCACAGGCTTTCGAGGACATTGGTACCGACAGCTCCAAGGAAAAGGCCCTGAGTGGATGGGTGTCATAGATGGGACTGGAGGCACACAATATGCACCATCTCTCCAAAACAGAACAAAAATCTCCGGAGACACCTCCAAAAACCACTTCTCTCTGAGTTTGCTATCTGTGACAACAGCAGACACTGCCAAGTATTACTGTGCCCTAGGTACACACACGGTGATACAGACACATGGAGGACTGGAACAAAAACCAAGCAGCAGAAAATATTCGTGAGGCCCTCTGAGGGTTGTTGCTAATTCCAGGAAAAGGACTGCAGCATAAAGGGAGGGCTGTGGCAGGGTTGGATTTCTTCTTGGGTTTCTTGGGTATCTGAGATCAACAGATGCACCTGGAATACTATAACAAACTCAGAATAAAAAGAACCACCATCTGATAACAGACTGGAATGCAAAACCTCAAGAGGCAAGAAAAAATCAGCAAGGCAATGATCTGAAAATAAAGAACAGTTCATCCAAAAGGAAAGCATGTGGCATTGGAGATAGCTCAGCAGACAGGAAAGGATTTGAAAGCCAATAACAAAACCAAGACCTGCAAGCCCGGGAGAAGTGCGCAGTCATTTGCCACACTCCGCAGTTCTGTTCTCTCCCTTGCAATTTTCCTAGTGCTGAGCTCCATTACAAGCCTTGCAACAGTCCCAGTAAAATGAATGGACCTTGTGACATGAAAACAGTTCACTGGAATTGGGCAGGGAAGGGGAAAAAAGGAAACTGAATTGCTTTAAAAATAACAATAATGAAAATGAATTACTCTAATTTAATAGCCCTTTACCTACTTAAATGGTGTGTGTGTGTGTTATGCTCATGCATGGTTAACAGCAACCAGGGCAAGCTCAAGCCTGTGAATATCATCAGCTGTCTTTGTCTATAGGAGGATTATATCCTGGAGGAGAGCTGTGGCTGAGAACAAAACAAAAAAGCCCCAGGTCATTGGTTCTTTGAGCCCAGTCTGGAGGCAGGGTCACAAGAGCAAGAACATAAAAGATGGAAAGAGAGATTCTCACTGACATTGCGAGCACTATAAGGGAGAGACAGTATACACATGCTTGTCCACATGTAAATCCATGTGTGCACTTGTGTGCATGACAAAGACCAAGAGTTGTATGTCTGACACTTTGCCATTTCCACCAACTTTCCATAGCTTTCTCGGTTCTGATGACACGGAAGCTGGAGAAGGCATTTGGGTCTCGTAGAAAGATTAATGATGTCCTCAATAAACTCATCCTCACACAGTGTGAGTGTCAGCATCTGTGCTCTGGGCATCAGGGCAGGCACTGGATGGAACCCACAAGGACACACCTGCAGCTCCACAGAGCAACCCACACCTGACACGATGTCACTGGGAGCAAAGACCTGCCCGCCTGCTCTCCCGCACTCGGCACCAACCCCACTCGGCTTCAGTCTCTCCACCATCCAGGCACATCCCGCACATCTGCGGCCCCAGTGCCCATGTAAGACAATGCGCCTTTGGCTGAGATGATGCGCCTCTCCAGCACAGTCCATGGGTCGTGGCCAAGTACTAACCCGCCTCTTTGGCATGTGGGACCAGGGAGCAAGAGCTGAATGCACATCCCGCACATCTGCGGCCCCAGTGCCCATGTAAGACAATGCGCCTTTGGCTGAGATGATGCGCCTCTCCAGCACAGTCCATGGGTCGTGGCCAAGTACTAACCCGCCTCTTTGGCATGTGGGACCAGGGAGCAAGAGCTGAATGCGGTACAGATCACAGTCCATGGGTCGTGGCCAAGTACTAACCTGCCTCTTTGGCATGCGGGACCAGGGAGCAAGAGCTGAATGTGGTACAGATGCAGTTTGATATGTCCAAATGGAGAAAAGAATGACACTTTCCCTCGTCTAAACTTGCGGTGCCCGGCTGCAGCAAATCTTTATCCCAGGGTAGAAGAAACACGAACATGAGAGGTGTGGACAGGAAAGATCTCTCTTACCGTGGAGTCAAAACAGATCTTGGGGCATGTTTAATCGGGAGGTGAAGAGGATGGCGGATGTGAGCGTCTGGATAGCTGCATCCCAGGATGGCACTTTTGGGGTGGAGGTTGTTTTAAAAAGTTCCCTCTCAGCTTGCCCTCGCACCCAAAGAAACACACGTGACATAGGTGGAAAGAGGCACAGGAATTGTGCGGATGGAGGCAGGACAGGCTGGGAGCCAGGCAGCGTGGCGTGGAAGTGCTGCATGGGACCTGTTGAAGGAGCCTCCATGGGCAGGAGGAAAGCAATGGCCACAGGATGGCACTGTTGCTGTTTAAGCCATTGTCCGGGAGCTGGAAGATCTCAGGAGCTCCATGCAGAGTAGTCCCATCTCCATGGCTGCCACCATCCCTACCCCGCAGGACATCAGCAGGAGCAGACCCAGGAGTACCATCCTTAGAGACGTACAACTACACCAGTCTGTGGTCGGGACTTTTTCACATCCCCGGATACAGAATTCAGGTACAGGTACAGTTCTCTTAATCAGGGCTGTCTAGCTCCCAAAAGCTGTGGGCTCTGCTGTGTGTGCTGAGAACCATGCTGTGCTTGTGCTACCTGCTGAATAGCCCCATCCCCCGCCATGAGCAGCACGAACAAGTTAGCCCCTGTCGTTCTACACGGGCAACCTGCATCTCCCTACTGCATGTGTAGCGCCCTCCTGCCACCAGGCTCCACCGCCCCCCGAGAGCAGGAAGGAGATGCCACAGAAGGGAGGGAGAATCTGGAGTCTACCGCCACTGCAGCAGGAGAGGTGGCCTCATGTCAACCTCCAGCTGGGCCAGATGCCACCTGCACACCTCCTTGGACAACTCTGCCCACAGCAAGTCCTGCTTCAACACATTCAACTCAGATACAATTACATTTTCCAGTGCTCTTCCCTCCGCCCTTATCAAGTAGTGACCGCACATCAGAAGCCTCATTGCCTGGGAGAAGGAGGGAGGTCCCACTTACCAAGGTGAAAAAGAAAGCCGGGAAATTATGAGACAAGTATTTGTAGATTTTCAATATCCTAATGATGCCCGAAGGTTCCTAACCTCACTCCTGTGGATGCCCATGGGATCCGGGCACCTAGGAGCTTTCAAGGAGCCCGGCAGCTGCCCATCTCCACCTTGAGAAACTCACCTGCCTCAGTCCATAATACCCAGTTCTGAGTGGGAACCTGGAAGCTGAACTCAATCTCACAAATCTTAAACGAGTTGCTCCACCATCAGCTCTTCCTCTGCTAGATCCAAGTGAAATTATAGGTGCAGGCAGCTCTGTGCCGATGACACTGAAGATTTAAGAGGAAGCACCGGACATGTTGCAGGAGTAGGACATTTTCACTACACCCGCTAACCACCAGGAATCAGGTGTCAGCATATATATACAGTTTGATATAAACCAAGTGAGGTAAGGAGGGATCTTTTCCTTGTCTCAAAATGCCCCAGCGTAGGAGATGTCCAGCCTGGGCTCGAAGGGCCACTGCCACACACTCCGGCCTGCAATCCCAGGGCACCCAGGTGCCAATATCCCTAGCCCCCTTGGGAAAATATTCCCAAAGCGCTCCATAGGTGCGGGCTGCAGACCAGCGCCGTGTGAGCATCGTGCCTCATCAGTCCTTTCCAGTTCCCAAGGAAGCTGCGGCTGCGTTTCCTCTTGGACCCGGCCCCGCTCAAGAGCTCAGGTGCGGTCGGGACCCGCCTCCCCGGGGCGGGGCGGAGCAGAGACGCGC